TCTATCCGGCCGCAGACGTTACAAATATGTAACTCAAAAAGATATGCAGCTGTAGATGCAGCCCAAAAAATAGGAAAAAACAGAAATAAAATAAATAAAGGCAGAGGCAGAGGCAAATGGAAAAAAGTGTAACCCACGTTTCGCTTCATTTGCTCGCACTGGAAAAGTAAAAACGGCAGCTACACGACGCCAAATTTATGTCTGCTAAATTTCACCCACGCAGTTGCCAATAAAAACAGCAGCAACATCTCCAGCAGTAACAACAATGGTACTACCAACATCAAAAGATTGCTTCTATTTCTATTATGCACTTCTTATTTAGGTAATAGTCTTCTTAGCATAAGAATGCATCCCTAAGCCTGTTCTCAAAAGTGGAAATTCCATAAATATATTCAAACGAAGTTGGATTTGGCAGTGAAATTGTAAAGACAAATCATTTGATTTTATTTCTTATATATTTATGTTATTAATTTGGGATAAGAAAAGATACTAACAGCATTGCAACTTTACAGTGAAATCTAACTATATAAATCATCTAGTTAGTTTATTTAAATGCAAATTATAAATTACTAGCATCTATTCAATGTACCCCGTATCCACTGTACAACTGAGGGAGATGGAGAGATTTGTGCTGCCCACAAAATCGTGATTCCGCCAGTTGCCGCCGCCGCCTGCCACAACGTTCACTTTCAAAATCAGTGAAATGTGACCAAAACAAGAAAGGAAAGCTAACTTCGGGCGGAGCCGAAGTTGATATACCCTTGCAGAATATTATGTACATTATATTCTCCAAAATTATTCATATGATGCATTCTTAATACTCATAAAAAATCCCCACTTCCTAACTTTACAAACACCAAAGTTATGGCATTTTCGATCAATCAGTTATATGGCGGCTATAGGATATAGTCGGCCGATCCTTATGACATTTGGTAGGTCGGATTGATTGGCCAAATATAAAACCCATAAAAAATCCCAACTTCCTAACTTTAAAAGCACCAAAGTTATATCATTTCCAATCGTTCAGTTATATGGCAGCTATAGAATATAGTCGGCCGATCCTTATGAAATTTGATATGTCGGATTGATTAGGCAAAAATAAAACCCATAGAAAATCCCAACTTCCTAACTTAACAAACACCAAAGTTATGGCATTTCCGATCAATCAGTTATATGGCAGCTATAAGATATAGTCGGCCGATCCTTATGAAATTTGGTACGTCGGATTGATTGGCCAAATATAAAACCCATAGAAAGTCCCAACTTCCTAACTTAACAAACAGCAGAGTTATGGCATTTCCGATCAATCAGTTATATGGCAGCTATAGGATATAGTCGGCCGATCCCGGCCGTTCCGACTTATATACTGCGTGCAAAGGAAAGAAGGGTGTGTGCAAAGTTTCAATTCGATATCTTTAAAACTGAGAGACTAGTTCGCGTAGAAACAGACAGACGCGACAGACAGACGGACAGACGGACAGACGGACAGACGGACAGACGGACAGACGGACAGACGGACATGGCTATATCAACTCAGGAGGTGATCCTGATCAAGAATATATATACTTTATAGGGTCGGAAATGTCTCCTTCACTGCGTTGCACACTTTTGACCAAAATTATAATACCCTCTGCAAGGGTATAAAAAAGTGAATTGATGTTGCATTGTGTTCAGCTGTCTGTTTGTTAGCTATTCGCATTATTCACTTGGCTTACAAATAGAGGTTAATTTATTGTGACTTGATTGAGTCGAGCATGCGCCTAAAATATGCCAGAGAAACTGCCTCTGCGAAAGGTGAGTCAATAAATTATACAATTATTTTAATTTCCATTTTTTGGCACGCTATTAAAAATAAGGGTTATTTAATAATATATTTTATATTTTTACGATATATTAAGTATTTCCTTAAATTACTAGAACCTCAAAAAGTTGGAAATACCTTTTTTTTTAAGAGGTAGCAAGCCTTTAATATCAGCTATACATTTATTGACTTACCCTGCTATTTAAGACGGTATCCTTTTGTTTTGCTTGAAGTTTATTAGATTTTCTGCTCATAATATTCTTAAATACCTTATAAGACCCCAGGATTGCATTTCTTAACAATAAATATTGTTAGGAAGTACTATTGATGTTATATCAAGTACCAAGACTTCGAATGACTTTCGGCAAGTCTGCAAAGTTTATCCCTGATATGCAGTATTTATAGTTTTCTTGCTGTAAGAATGCGTGTTAAATGGCAAGTTATCGGGGTCCGAGTAAGAATTGCTTGTCTCAATGTCAAGTTTCTTATATTATTGGAATCAATTACACTGGTCCAGAACTCCACTCACACACTGGCACAAGTTTTAGATGCAGATGGAGATGAAGATGCAGATGCAGAAACAGATACTGATACATATTCATGCTGGCGATGCAGATAAACATCCGAGCGAAGAAACCAGATGAAAACCGCGTTCGCTGCATCCGACAACGACCTTCGGCGCCGATCTGACATTGAACACTGGCTATAAATGGAGGCATGTACTCGCACTCGTATCGTGTACATTGTGCATTGTATTGTGCGGGTACGGTACGTGTACAGTGTACATACCTCCTCGTCTTTTGTTGCTGTACATGCTGTTGACATAATTTATCCAGAGCATACACCGGAAAAAACATCAGTCTCCATGCCACAGACAGTTTTGTTTTAGTGGCCTTAATAATAATACAAAAATATATTATTTTTGGTCGGGGACTAAAACAAAGTTGTTTAAATAATAAGTAGGTTATGTTGATATATAGCGAAATATAATAAAACGAAGTTTTTTTATTGTGTTTAGGTTTCAATTTAAACCACCGTAAAATTAAAAAAACAATTCACTTAATTCTTACTAAAACTTTCTGTCCATTTTCAACAATTTTGAAAATGTTTAAGATAACTTTTGGTTTCATATTTAACCGCCGTAACTAAAATTAATATTCTTTTGTATTTTTAAAAGAATTTATGTAAATTCTTACATAAATAATCTTTCTATTTTAAACGGTTTTTACTATTATTTTAGATGTCGTTTTAAAAATGTGATTAATTTTGTTCGGTGCATGCAAAGTGTGTGTTTTGCTTAGCGCTTTTCGCATTTAGCCAATTAACTCAATGGTGCCGAATTCAGTTGTCGATGGAAATGGAGATGGAGATGTCGGTGACGCGCGCATTCCAATCCGTAGCGATACGATCCAATCCGGTGCGCGTTTTAGTCGCCACTTCATGTTGCAACAACTTCGGTTGCTGCTGCTGCTGCAGTTGCAGTTGCTGCTGCACTGCTGCACTTGACTTACTTGCCTGGCGGTGTTGCATCTGGTAACTGCCATCGCCATCGCCATCTGCGCAATGCATTTCACTTTCATTATGATGCAGTCAGTTTTTGCCACTAAAAATGGCAACGGGGCAATGCCAATGTGTGGTTTTTCCAAGCCAAAATGAAAACCAGTCGAGAGACTGAGGCTGCAACGCCAACTCCATCCCGCTCGCACTGATTGGCAGCAACAGCAACAACAGCAACAGCAACAGCAACAGCTGACAGCTGCACTCACCTGGAAACTCACCTGGACTCAACTCAACTCAACTGAAGTCACCTGGTCTACCTGTGTAGGCGTCGCTTTTCGTCGGTTTTCGTCTTTTGTTTCTGCCTCGCATGGGTTTCGTTACTTGTTTTTACTTTCTTCTAATAGATCGTTAGCTGTGCCATGAACTTGCAATTGATTGCTTATTGTTAAATGAAAATGGAAAGTATTTTCCAGGCAGGCATTGCTTTTCCTTTTTCGTGGCTTTTCATTAACGACGCCTTTTGTTTTGTTTTCGCAGCAGCAGCAGCAACAACAGCAACAACAGCAACATCGGCAGCGGCTTTCCCGAAAAATGTGCAAGGGGGTCAAGCATTTAACGTATTCTTGACTTGCGTCGGCCGTTTTTATTGATTTGCCAGCTGAGCAAACGGAAAGCGAAAGTAATTACCCTTAGTCATGCCCACACTCAGATATATATAAGTGTAAGTACACCCAAATACCGGGAGATATAGATGTGGTACGACTGCTCATGAGAATTCCCCAAGAAACCGAGCGATAAATGCAACAACCCCCAATTGCATTAACAGACTTTCGTGTGCATGTGTATAAGTATATTCGTGTGTGAGTGAGTGTGTTGCAGTGTGCGTAATTCGCCGCCCCTTCCTGCCACTCCCCCCGCTGCCCCTCTGCACACACGCAACAGAATCAATTTTTATTGGTTACACAACAACGACGCCAGCAGCGAAGGAAAAGTCCAATGACCCCGGCGACGACTCATGACTTTTAGTACTTCTCGGCATACACTTCATAAGGAGCATGCCCAAATTACCCGGTCAACTTGAAACGGAAAGAAATGTTGTTCATATTATATAAATTAAAAAAAACTCAAAAATATTTCCTTGAACTAAAAACTTTATTTCATATTTTAAAGATATAAGAAGTCCATTCAACAAAGTTAGTTAGTTAATCTAATTAAAAAAGAATAAAAATGAACACCTCATAATTTATTTAATATCTTGGTATATTTCATATAGTTGCATAATAATTACACATTAATTACTGAACGCATGTTGAATTTTGTATATATATTGATATATATCAATAAATAATATTTTAATAAAAACCCAATTGTATGATTATCAAAAATCTAGCTTAGGAAATTGTAATTTAAAAATATTAAAATATTATTTTTTTTAACCTTTTAGTTTTCATTAAATCCAAGTACTTTAAAACTTTAAAAATTTATGAAGAGTATGTCGCGTTCAGTCTGATAAGACTCGTTGCTTTCTTAATATTTCCCTCATTCCTGCTCCCTGCTGTTGTGTCTTTTCAGTTGAGTTACTTTGAGTAAATAGCCGATGCATCGGCTACTGTTTGTTTTGGTCAGGCGCACAGATCTGTGGGTATCGGTGGATCTCCGGAGGAGGATCCCTCGCTAATGGCAAAACAACAAGAGTCGCTTGGGTAAACAACTACATTTATTTATTGACGTGAATCATTTTGTAACCAATTTAATACTCGTATTCTCGCTCAGAAACGCCAGGTGCCCTGAATGCCGCCGCCGTAGTCGTTGCGGTTGTGGTCGAAATTCCGGCTGGCTTGGGCGTAGGCGTCGATGCTGCCACGCCCATCGCGGCTTGAGAACAGATTGTGATTATACTGGAGACTGGCCTCCCGACCCACTTGGTTGTCCTTGCTGGCGGTGATCACCAGGGAACCACCCTCGGGCGATCGAACTCGACGCACCAAAGGCATCTCCTCGAGGAACTCCTCCGGATCGGACAACTGGGATTCCTCAGGATTTGGCACCAATAGCATCTGCCCGAGGAACTCCTCCTCCTGATCTGCCAACTGGGATTCCCCAGGATATGGCTGGGGATAGCCGGCCACTAAAGCCACCAGGCAGCAGGCGATAAGGAGCACAATTCCGCACTTTTTGGAGGACATCTCTACTGGGTAATTGGTTGAATAAAACTGATGGAGAACTAAGAAGTGGTTCGCGTTTTTATAGGAGCCCCAGCACAGTCCAATGGGATTCACCTAAGCGGGGACTTCTACTAGGCATCCCATTGTAGCTTATCAGCTGGGCACGGTGATTTTTTGTTAAAAGGTTCATCCCATTCGGGGATCCTTATCAGCACCTTTTGTCAATAGCAGAGAAGTGTGACTTTAAATCCAAGTTCTCACAAGATTTTATACATAAAGTCTCACAAGATTTTATACATAAGGTCTAATCTGATTATCATGAAAACCGATTACACATGGTTAGCAAACCAAATCAAACCACATTTAGAAAGTATTATTACTCAGAAAATTTAAATAACTTCTAAGACACGGGTATTGTTTTTAGTATTTTAAAATATTTTCCCTTCTTAAAATATATATAATATAACAAATATCTTTTGTGTTTTTATACAACATCATGGAAATATCACATAAGACTTTAGGCAAACATAATCTCTAATAAATAACATTGAGGTTTAAAAGACTTGAAATTGCTGATTAAATAAATATTTACATATATATTAAAATATAATTAATAAACGATAAGTATAAAGTTCGAAAGGGTTTTTACTTTACACAATTAAAAAACAATAAAATTAAAATAGCATAGAAATGATTTATTATATTGTACATTTAAAGTAAGCAACAAAATGACTTTTATCATGGCAACTAGCTTCTCTAAGGGCTTCCCCTCCCAGCAGTCTCCTTAATTATGTTAAAATATCTCAATGTATGCTAATTCCCAGCTGATTAAGAGTGATATCGACGTGTTTCTAATCAGCCTGTAAGAGGGGCGCGCTCTGCCATAACTTTTCTTTTCTAAACGCATTCAAATCGGCCTACGCAACAGACTTTTTGAGATAACGTCGCACGCATCGGCGGGCCGAAAAGCTCTCAATAAAAAAACACAAGAAATCGGACAAAAAAAAAGCCGAAAAATCATAAAAGAGAATTTAGTTCAAATGAGTTCGTTGACACAGAAACGAAGAAATCAAAATTTAGTTTTCCTGTGCTGTGCGTGCGATCTACGCACGATTCATTATAGACTCTGTGGTATCGGACTCTTTTCGTTTTTAGTTATCAACGCGTAAACGAAACTCGAGTACCAAACATCGGGGAATAAATGAATGCCTAATCGCAGCCGAAACCCTTGCAAACCTTGCCATGAACTTGAATTCGAATGGTTGTGAAAGTATATGGTATAAAATTGTGCCGAGTGCCGCAGCACTTCTCTTGATTCTTTACGGCGACGAGAACTGATTTCTAATCACATTTTCGAGTGCGGTAATTAGATGTGCGTACCGCTCGCACGCGTACCGCTCTCAATGCGAAAGTCTTTCTTTTTGGCCCATAGATCATTTGCGGGTGAAAGTTTTTGCATGGGTACGCCTCGCTTCTGCGGCTCCGTGTTTCTTTCATTTACCTTACTGGACTCTGGCCTTATCTATTGAATATCAAGTTGTGCATTTACATCTTTTGTCACCTGTGGCTATTTATCTCGCTGACTTACCCGAAGCCCACGGGGCGTATACACAATGTGAAGTAGAAACCGAATTGGGTGGGGAAAAAAAAGCATAGAAAAAGATATAAAACTTCAGAGACACGTGTCGATATCTGAGAAGTTGCCAAGTCATAATTGTAAATTTTTATAGATCTACCCGAGAATTCGGGGAGGCCTCTCAGCCAGAAAAACAATTAAGCCGAAAAATATCAAAATTCATTGAATGAAAGTCTATATGGTATATATCAGTGTGTGTTTGCCACTTGGACAGCCATTTGTCTAGGCCCAAAAAGACAGACGGCATAAAATGCGTGGCGTACGCACGCTTTCAAAATAAATTATATATGCGGCGATGATACGATTTTATATAGGCAAATGCGTATATATATATATTTAAATATTGTATATCCGCCGGTTTCTGTATGTGTCGTTGTTTCGCTTGTTGTTTTAAAAAGATTTATTTGCCAAAAAATATGACGACGGGAAGAGCAGTAAAATACTGTGTGCTGAAATCGCAAATGGGCAACTTTTTGCGGCTGCCCCTTTTTGTGCGGTTTTTGCTCTTCAACTTTGTCAACAAAGGAAGGAGGGAAATGCAGATTAAGATGAATAAGTGGAAAGACAAGGGAGGATATTTTAATTGACTATAGCGAACATTAAAGTCCCTTTTCGTATGGTGAAACCTCTAAAATTTATTAGAAATCGATTGCTTTTCCAATGCTTATGCATATTAATAATTTTCCAAATCTTCAAATCTAATTCTATTTTAAGTAATTGTCATTGAAAAAATCATTTAAAATGTCTTCGATATTATTATTGTCCAAGACTTTGTAAATTATATTCAAACTATTTTTTTTTAGTAATTAAACATGTTTAATAAATTTGTAAGTTTAATAAACGCAGACACACAGCTCATTTAAGTTATTAATAGGTTTGACTTTCAGAGGTTCGTTTAAAATTCAAATTGATAGTATTCGTTTATAAATAGTTTTTTTTTATCTGCATATAGTTAAAAATAGCCTATTTTGTTTACTATTTATAATAATAATAATAAATTGTTATGATATTTTATCTAAGTGGTGACAAACAACTAAGTTTTCTTATTTACAAAACCAAACCGGTTTTTATTTTCGCTTACTCACTTAAGGGCAATAAAGTTTTAATGAAACTAAAGTTTAAAGAACTAAAAACCTGTTTTATTATTTTCGCATATACAATGCTATTATTTTGATGATCCATTTAGGTAATTTAATGCTATATCATTTAATATCTATAAAGTTTTTAACTGCGAAAAATCGAAAATATTCCGCGAAACATTGATTTCAATTTAATGAAATCTAAAAACGGAAGACCCCACAAAGAGGAGATACTTTGAGAAATATACTTCGGAGAATGGCGAATCGAGAGTGAAGAGATGCTGTTGCTTGTGGTGTTTTCATTATTATTGTTGTTTGTGTTATGCGTTGCGTTTAAGTCAAGTTCAAGGACTGTCAATTAAATTGAAATCACTTGCTAAAGACGCGTCGCAGCGAGCGGCAAAACAAGCTTCCAGATGAGTAGAGCCCGGATTCCGGGGAGGGGAAGAGGAGGGGGTCCAACTGGAGACCCGCTTCTTGTGTATCTATGTGGCTCTGTTTTTGCTCGATTTTGCACGCAGCTCGCTTACAATATATCGTTGTTGCGGATGCTGCGTAGTTACAGTGCGGTAATTGCCGCTGATGATCATGATTCGTCTTCCTCTCGGGCTCCATCATCTTCCACGGGCTGCCATCTTCTAGGCCGGTCTTGAATGGCTCTTTTGTATGTCATCCAGGCTTTGAGCAAGTCAAGTGCGACTTCTGGTTCGTTAATCGTTCTCAAAACTGTTGCCATCCAGTCCCCGATATACAAATATCTCGAGTGGGGCTTTTGTCTGTCCAAAAGAGAGGGCGTGTCCCCGGAGAATGTGGGAATTTATCTCATATAGTCATGATTGGCATGGGCAATTGGGGCTTTTCGAGTGGTCTAGGGAGTGTCAAACAAATGTTTTTGAAGACAAGCCTAACGTTATGTTAAAGGTTTCCCTGTCTATCAAACAACTTTAAAAATCATTCGATATAAATATTTATTATGAAAATATAGATTGAACGTTTCCTTTGATCTCAGTTATAAGCCGAAAATAAATTTATAATAAATTAAAGATTTTAAAGAAGTCTGTTATTAATTACAAATTTTATTGACATTATAATTTTACTTAACTGACAAATTAAATAAACTTTTTTTGGAACATTTGCATTAAAATGACATCTATGTATTTATAGAATAAAATTATTTGAATATTTAGACAAAGTTTCTCTCAATTCTCTATTTTATGTAAAATCAAACAGAATGTACATTTTTATTAAAATTAAATATAACTATATATTACAATTTTAACTAAATTTTACTATATATCTATACAAAAAGTTTTACTGATTTCCAGATTCAGAATGATATTTTCGTATCTTTTCATTTATGCCTAATTTTTGTAAAATATTCATAACGTAAAAGTGGCATCTGGCCGCTGGTCCGACTCAAAATCGGTCGACTAAGGCGGTAAGCACGACCCCAACCCAGCCCAACGACAATGCACGGCCAGGGGCAATTCCTAACTGTGTTTTTAGGCCAACTTTCGGTTTCTCGAAATGCGAATCGAGGTTTTCATATCAAATGTGGTCACAGCCAGCGGCCTGAGACGCTTAAAATAAATGCATAATTAATGACGATTTGCCTGTACGTATTTGTTTCTCCAGTTGATTAACATAATGCCAAATACATACAGTGCCATATAAAATTATCAACTTGGACTTGTGAATAAGACTTATTTGTGTACAACTTTACACGTGCTCTGGCAGACGAATAAAGGAATATCGAACCACTGAAAAATCGATACGAAATGACCAAACTTCTTGAAAAATTTCCTTTGTGTCAACGATGACTAAATGTACCAGCACATTTTATTTGGCCTTTTCGTGATCAAGAAATGTGTTTTTAAACGCCAGGCAAATAAGTGAAATGTCAATCCATCAGATATGAAAAGAGTTCTGAGGAAACGGAAATGGGGTGTACCATTTATGTATGTGGAACTGTCTGTCAATATTTGGTCAATAAAAAACATTTTCGCTTTAATTCGTTAATCAATACACTAAAGTTGTTGTTGTATGCCTTTTTACCGCATTTGTTGATTTTTTTTGTTAATTTTGTTTTTATAAATATTTTGTATGCCAAGAATTTAAATTAGTAGTAAATCTGGTTTTCTGATTTCGGGTTAGTTGTCTCGGTTCCCCAGACTTTTTCTGCTTCTCCTGCTGTCGCTTCCCTCAGTTCTACTCGAATCTTGTTTTTGTCTGCCGCTTCTCATCCGATTTCTTCACTTTTCTGCGACGTTATTACAGGTGAATTTTGTAGTTTTTTCCCTGTTGTTGCCGTGCTTTATTTTTCTGGACTTGGGAC